GAAGACAAAAATGAAAGAACATTGGCACACATGCCCCAGATCAGACAGCCAGAATTTATCATAAAAAATTTTGAAAAAAAGAATAATGCAAAGGAAGGAGGGAAAGGAGGAAAGAAGGAATAAGAAGGGAAGGGAGGGAGGGAGGGGAGAGAGGAAGGAAGAGAGATACTCCGAGGGGTGCCTGGTAGAGCTTGGAGGGGAAGGAGACTCGGGGGCATGAGAGTAGATGTGGGGAGATCAGTTTTCTAAAAAAGCTGATCGAGTAATTCTGGGTCTGAGATGATGGTGCTGTGAACACAGGTGGTAACTAGAGGCGGGTAAAGAGGAATGGGCAGATTCAGACAATATTTTCGAGGTGGATTGGTCAGGTTTGGGATTGATTGAATGTGGTGGGGAGAGGGTGGTGACTAGGTGTCTTGCTTGAGTTGCAAGGTAAGAAGGAAGCACAGAGATAGGAAACTCACAAGGAGAAGCAAATCTTGGAGGAAAGGAGAGGAGGGAAGTAAATTCAGATTGTCCGTGCTCGACATAAGATTTCTGTGCATCATCCACGTGGGGAAACCCCACTGTGGCCTGCGGGAAAGGACTAGGCTGGAGAACAAGATTTGAGAGTCCTGGGACACTCACAGTAATTCCAGGAAGCTGTGAGATTCCTTAGGGAGTGAGCAGGGAGGAGGGTACACGTTCAGCCCTTAGGTACACCAGCGTCCAAGGGGTGAAGAAGGGCACCCAGAGAGGTCCCCGAGAAATCAGGAGTCTGTGCTGCCACAAAAGTGGTCTCTCAAGGGAGAGGGTAGCCCAGTGTGTAAATAGAGGCTGCCTCTGTGGTAAGATAATGAAGTCAAAATCCCAAAATGTCCTTCCTCACCATTCCCTGAAATTCCTTTCCTGGTGGTCCATTCCTGACCTTCAGTTAAGGCTGCTGTCTCCCGAGGTGCTTCTTTTAAAATGCAAGTATGTGTGGGAATGTTGTCCTAAAAAAGAATTTCATATATACAGCTGGAGAGTCCTTCAGTCTGGTTTAGGGAGGTTCTAAAATTGGGAAGAACATCTAGTGGGGGACATTGGGAGGCCCAAAGGCCACCAGCAAAGACTGCTTTGCAGAAGCCTGTTTCACTACAAGATGCTACCCCTTACAGCCACACCTACCCCTTCTGCCCTTGCCCGGCAACCCCTCAGGTGTGCTTCTAATTGCTACACTTTTGTTACTTCAAGAACGTTCTATCACATAGTATGTAACCTTTGTAGAGCCGCTTTTTCCACTCACTATAACGCCCTTGGCATTCACCCAAGTTGTTGCTGTATCAATAGTTCATTCCTTTTTATTGCTGAGTAGTAGTCCATGGTTTGGATGTATCCCAATTTGTTTACCACCTCCTTCCCCATGTAATTTTTAATCTCATAAACAAACTACATATATGTTTCTATAATGTGGCTTTTTGGAAAGCCACAAACCATTGTGAAAGCTAAGATTTTTTTCATCCCCCAAGAAGGAATTTTCACCCCCTTAGGGACGATCCTGTCTCCATGGAGGACACCACATTCTGGAACGATGTACTGACTTGTGCTTCTCTCTTGCTCCAGTTTAGTGCTCAGATTCAGATGGAAGTAGAGAGACTTATAGTCCAAGCGTACGCCCTGGAACATCAGAAAACAGTTGGCCCCGACCCCGTAGATGACTCCTGCCTCGTCCATCGGTGTCGTTGCAAACTGGCCAAGTGAGTGCCTTGTCATGTTGTGTTTGTTTCAGAGCGTATCAGAGCAGCTTCCTGGGAATAATGCTGGGCCTTCTAGCAATAAAATCCACTAGCCTTTCTTAGCTGCTACCTCCTAGCACAGGCCAACCAAACAGGTTTCTTCCCCTGAAGGTCAGAAAATTCCAGCGTTGTCTAATTAGATCCACGAGGGCCCACACTGTTGTTTTGAGATCATGGCTAAAAGAGCAGCGTGGCTTTCTGGGGGGATGTATCTTGCTCCTTGGCTCCATTCTGATGGCCGTTGGTTGTTCTCCGCTCCAGAGAATCCAATTCCACACAAGAGCTAGATGCAAAAGGATCTCACACTCTCTCACTTTTGAAGAAGGAACCTTACACACTTGAAAGTGACTGATCAGGAGCCTTCCTCAACCGTTTCAGAGTCCAGCTGCCAGAGTATGTCCTGGACTTTGGCTACGTTATCCCTGGTGAAGTACAAACCCACATCATCAGGATCACCAACGCCAGTCACTTTCCAGTGTCCTTTCAAGCAGAGAAGCGTGTCCTTCACGACACAGGTAACCAGGCTGGAGACATCCTTTCCTGTTGCGTTATGTTATTTCTAACAAGGTACTCAATGGACTGCCCTTCGGATCCGCGTTTAGGCTTCTGGATCAGTGGAGAAAGAATTTTTGGGCCACTGATTGATACTTTGAAAAGTTATTCAGCCCCAGAGGGGGCTCTGCCTGTATCATCTACGGTTTGCTATTTCTCTCTCCCACAAAGAAATGTTGTTTTTCTCACCGTCTTGGTCCAGGCTTCAGTACTGAGCTAGATCGTGTAAAGAATCTGCCTTACTGTGAAACGGAAACATTTGAAGTGAGATTTGACCCACAAGGGGCCAGGCTTTCTCTTGGAAACAAAGAAGTTACAATGCCCATCAAGGTGAGATGCACCACTGCTGGAGCACGAGGAGGGGGGGGGCACTTGTTTTAACCACTAGGCCACACAGCCCTCCCTGGCCGCCAGCTCTGTGTGCTCACCGCTCCTGAGATAAGCTAGTTACTATGTCAGAGCCGTGATTCTCCCTCCTCCCTTGTCCTAAACTCCAGCCATGGGGTAACAGTAGTTCTGTTCCTGCTCTAGGTGGTCGGAGGGCCAACAGTTCACATCTGTCTCAAAGCTGTGGTGACCATTCCAAGTATGACGCTGTCTTGTGGCAAAGTGGAGTTTGCCACCATTCAGAGTGGGCAGTGCCTCGTGGAAACTATCCAGCTTTGTAATCATCTCCAGGTCCCTTGCGAATGGTTTGTCCACACCCACAAGCCTGTGGACAAGGTAAGTGGCTTGTGGCCCATTGGTCCCCTTCTCTCCATCACCATTGCATCCGGATTTCTAACTCTAGGTGTTCACCCTCATCATTTCACTCTCCTGCTCAAAGTGTTTCAGGGACAACCTTTGCCTCCTAAATAAAGTCGAGGCTGTTAGCCCAATACTCGGGGTCCTATCAGGCCAAGCTGTCTGGTCAATTGCCCTGTTTATTTTTGTACCCCTGGTATCTGTAGTCCCTGGCCCCTGGGAGGTCCTCGGTAAATGTAGGTTGAGTGACTAGAAGATGGACTGAGCCCACGTCCCGTAAGGAATGATCTAATTGTCAAATATTTACAAACCAGCTGGAGAAGCACATGCCAAAGTACTTACGACAGAAACTGTACGCTGAATTAAAGCCAAAGACACGGACTTTTGAGATTCAGCCCACTTCTGGAGTCCTGGACCCTGGTGAACGGTCCAATGTACAAGTGAAATTCATGCCTAAAGAAGAGGTGAGCTTGGAAGAAATGCAGTTTCATTGAGAGTCTCTGGGTCTCTTTGGGCTTCACTCATAGCCCATGCTGACGTGGGTCTCGAGAAGTTTTGCCCGCACCTTACTGTCTTGGGTATAACATCTTAGGGGCTCTGGCTCATGTAGAAGCTGTGTGGTCTAGTGGTTAGAACACAAGTAGCCCCCACCTCTGCCCTTCCAGGCTGCATGTGTTTGTGCAAATTATGGAGCCTCTATGAGCCCCAGCGTGCTCGGAGATTAAATGAAAATAATGATCTTACCTGATACAGACCTCTTATTTGTCTTCTGGAATCCACTAAGCTCTGAAAACTGAAAAACATTTCATAAGTTTTAGACCAAATTCATTTGGCAGAAAAACCTCACCTAAACTGACATGTGACAATTCAGTTTGCAGAGTCAGGAACTGCAGCTGCAGAAAACACTAATGTGTGTTGATTACATGGGACTTTCCCAAGCCCCACTGAAGTTATTGGTTAATAAAGGGTATGTACACTGTGTTTACTTTCTTACAATGTGGATTTGGAAGTGTCTGAGTCCTGAGGTTTCCAGTAGCTGATTGATTCCCAGCCTGCTCTGGCGCCTCCTAGGATCATCCTGGAGATGAAATGAACAGACGTGAATAAAGTCCATGGCATTCTGCTCCACATGCAGTGAGTGTCCCACCAACTGTTAACTATTATTATCGGTAGCCACGATGTTAATAGGCACTTCCTGGTGGATGACCTCCCAGCACTTTACAAATGTTCCTTTTCTGAAAACCATCAATACCGAGCTACTCCTGAGCAAGTACACAGTGAGGAAGTGATGCAATTCCAGAACCAGGGTGCTATCAGGAGGTTACTCTGCAAAGACTTTTGCTCAAAGTCAGACATTTGGGATATGTTTTTCTCTCTGGTCTAGTCTTTTAAAGGAAAATCAATGGGTGTCTTATAAAACACCTATGGTTAACTCCCACTTCCTGCTAACAACTTTGAGCAAGCGTTTAAGAATCTGCGGTCAATGACTGCGTATTTGATTTTAAAGTCAAGCTTGTGTTTCTGTCACTATCAAAATCTCCCCCAACTCCTTTAAAAGAAAACAATTAATAACATGTTTGTCATTCTTAGGTGGTTTAGTCAAGATGTTGGATATTTTCTTAGGATGACTGAATATAATACCAGGGAAATATCAATAAATAGGATAAGAAATAGATTTGTTCAGGCAGTTTTTTAAATGTTGAGCTGGATTTGGTCAAAGTGAAAAAAAAAAAAATGTTTCCACCAGTTGGGCAAGGAACTTACAGGAATAGTTCAGCCCTGCAGCCACTCAGCCCTTGCCGGCATCATCATAAACAGAGCTACACTGGGGACACAGACCACTGGCATCTACACCAACAACACTCGGTCATTAACAAAGCTTAACGTGTGTTTAGAATCCCCCATTAGGAAACAAGGAACTGAATGAAGTATTCTAGAAAGATTTCCTTAAAATCAGACTACAGGAGTTGAGGTCATAAGGTGGTAAATCCATGACTATACAGAAACCCCTCTTAGCCGATAATTCATTCTGTGTTTCTGACTGTGTGTATGTATGTATGTCCATGCACATTCCATCCACCTGATGTTTCCCTCTTCAGCTAAGACTGAAGCTCTTCAGATTTTCAAACCAATCACCGTCCCCAAACCTAAGTCATAAGCCCACCTGTATCAGAGTAACCTGGGCATCTGGTAAAAAAAAAAAAAATGCAGAATCCCAAAAATTTCCCTGCCCCTCTAGCAATGGGACTAGTGAATCTGTATTTTAAGTTCCCCAGTGAGACTGCATTACGAATCACTGGCCGTGAAGTAGATTTCTTTACCATTTTGAGAAAAGTGAGTTATGTTGTCACTATCAGCTGGCAGTGATCAGTCCCAGACCAGCTACATAGCTGTATCTTAAGTAATGGAAGTTGGTTAATTGGACCCCTCCCAGACGCTGATCCTGATCTGGATACCAGGATCTGAGGGCAAGTATACCACACTGAGAGGGAATGTGGAGAGTCTAAAGGCAAGGGAGACAGCCAGCAAAGGGTGTGTGCTGGGATTTGATCCACAGGGAAAGTCTGGGGGACTACACAAAGCATACATTTCAGAATCCTAGTGGCAAAAGGTTGCTGGTTCAAACCCACCCAGTGACTCTGAGGGAACAAAACCTGGCCATCTGCTCCATTAAAAATTACAGCCTGGAAAAAACCAAGAGACAGTTTTACTCTGTCACAGGGGGTCATGATGAGTTGCATATCAACTCAATGGCACCTACAGCAACAGGAGTGAGGGAACTCGAGTAAGACTCCCTAGTTGAGGAGTGCGCCAGGTGGTGTTACTTCTTGGGTACTTCCGCCCTGCCGTGCCTTGGTCTTTTTCATGTTTTACATGGCATGTAACAGAAACCAGACATTGGTTTTGTTTGTTTGACTTTGTTTTCCAGAAATTTTACAGCCAGACGCTGGTGTTCCAGATTGCACAGAGCACTCAGAAGCTTGCACTGCTAGTGCAGGGGCAAGGCCTAGAGCCCCGCCTGGAGTTTAACCCTTCGGTTCTGGAGCTGGGGCCGCTGCTGCCCTATGCCTCCGGAGACGAGGTCGAGCTGCTGGTGAAGAACCCCTGCAACTTTCCCATTGAGTTTTACTCCTTAGAATTCGACCAGCAGTATCTCATAGAAGAAAAGGTGAGTTGAACCCAAAGCCGAATTCTGTGTTCCTACTGGGCGTGACCCTGCCGTGCCTTTACTCAGTGTCCTCTCTCTGTATGGAATTCCTTCCCCTTAGCCTTTTCTACCTCCCACCCCTTGCTGTGAGAACTCTTGTGGGCTAGTGCGTAAGGCATTTGACTGCTAACCAGAAGGCTGGCGGTTCAAACCCACGAGCCACTCCTCGGAAGGAAGCTTGGGCAGTGTCCACGGAGGGGTTGCTGTGAGTTCATACCTTCAGATTCTTTTGTATTTCCTATTTACATAATCATATCATCATGGAATGACACTTTTCTTTCTTCCCTCACACCTTTAATTTAATTTTGTTTTATTGCAACAACTAGGACCCTCACTCAGTGTAACAGTGAATAAAAATGATAATAAGTGTACATTCTTGTCTCGTTTCAACCTCATAGGGAAACAGTCAATATTTCAGCATTAACTGTGATGTTTACTATAGGTTTTTGCAGATAATTTTTAACAGATTAAGGAAGTTCCTTTCTGTTCTTAAGGAGCTCTGGTGGTGCAATGGTTAAGGTGTTTGGCTGCTAACCAGAAGATTAGTGGTTCAAACCCCCCAGCTGCTCTGCAGAAGGAAGATGAGGCAATCTACTTGTGTACAGATTTACCTTGCAAACGCAATGGGGGTCGCTATGAGTAGGATTCAACTCAGTAGCAATGGGTTTGGTTTTGGGGTTTTTTTCTGTTCTTGATTTGCTGGAAATTTGTTGTTTTTTAATCATGAATGGGTGTTGGATTTTGTCAAGTGCTTTCTCTGCTTCCACTGAGATGATAATACAATATTTCTGTGTTTTCTATTAATATAATTAATTACTTTCATTGTTCATATTTTTGGAAATTTGCCTACAGTAGAATGAAAAAGTAACTGTACAGTTTTGACATATGTCTACACCTGTGTCACCCAAACCCCTATCAAGATGGAGAACATTTGTGAAGTAACGTAAAAGCCCAGCCTGTTAGATCAGAGCCACACAAGTGAGAGATCTTTCCCAGTATCAAGCTTTACTGACAGTGGTGTTAGCACAAGTGAGCGGTGCAGCTCCCCGGGTTCTCTTGTCACATCAGGATACACTCTGGCCCAGATTAGAATAGGAGGTCTCTAAGTAGTGGGGTCACATGGGGTCACCATGAACTTGATAGCAGCTAACAAGTAATGTATGTAGTATGTTACTTACACAGAAAGAGTTGTTATGGTCATGAAATACATCCATTTTCCACTTAAATAATGACACAGGTGATGTTGCATTTTCCGTGGAGCTGTGCCCCAAGGTAAAGGAGCTCTGGTGGCATAGTGCCTAAGGCATTTGACTGCTAACCAGAAGGTTGGTGGTTCTAACCCACCAGCCACTCCGCGGAAGGAAGACAGGGCAATCGAAAGATTTGCTGCCTCAGAAACCCAGCAGGGGTCTCTGTGAGTCGGAATTGGCTCAGTGGCAGTGGGTTTGTTTTGTGTGTGTGCGTGTGTGTGTGTGCGCGGGCCCCAAGATGATCCACGTTGAATTACCCTTTGCGTATGGTCTGAGGGTAGGGGTCAAGATTCTTTGTTTAACTAATTTCTGAATTTTGAAGCACTCATGCATCTCCTGGAATAAACCTGACATGTTAACATTTTTATATGTTGCTGGATCAGTTTGCATATATTTTCTTTAACATTTTTTCATCTGTGTTGTTTGGTAATTTTTTTTGTTAAATTACAAACCTTACACACTGTTGTATACCTTGCTTTTGTTACTTACTACGTTGTGGAGATATCTCTTCATTAGCATTTAACAGTTTCCCTTTTCCTTTCAAACAGTTCATAGAATGCCATTGTATAACTGTATTGTAATTTATTAACCAGTTTTCTGTTGATGGACACAGGTTGTTTCTGCCCTTCTGCTAATAAAAACAGTGCTGCAGGAAATAATTTTAAATAAAAAATAATTTTTTACAAGTATAATTGTCAAAAAAAGAGGCTACCAACTCAGTATCAGAAACAAAAAGCTAAATCTATTGCTTGTTTAAGTTAGGGAGAGCTGAACTAGCAGGATGCAGTCTCTCTGAGCAATGCAGAGGGCTTATCTTTTATAGTGATTTTGGGAAATACGGAGTTCAGGGATTGAGAAGCTTCCAGAAATAGGAAAAACCAAACCAGACCTAAACTCACTGCCGTGGAGTCGATCCCGACTCATAGCAACCCCTCCTTGGGTTTCCGAGGCACTATCTCTCTGGAAGTAGATTGCCCAGTCTTCCTTCCTCTATGGAAGTAGATTGCCCAATCTTCCTTCTGAGGAGTGCCTGGTGGGTTTGAACCTCCAGCCTTCTGGTTAGCAGTCAGGAAGTAGGAGTGTTTAGCAATTGATTGACTTTTAGCTATGGAAGCAGTTTATTGGAGTGTGGCTTTTGTTGATTGGCTGACTTTCGGGAATGTGAGGCTATTACTGATTGGCTAGCTTTCAGAAGCTAGCACTAATTGATGAAAATTAAGTGAAGCTGGTTCTGGTGGTTCTTGTACTTCTGGCAAAGAAGAAACAGTCCTTTCCTAGGAGGGTATAAATTTTTATTCTTACAATTTTGTGTACACATTCTAGCACCTCTGTAAGATAGACTTGTACTAGTGTGTTTTCTGAGTCAAAGATTTTGTTCATTTTCATTTCAATAGCTATTCCAAATTGCCTTTCAGAGAGTGGTGCTGCCTGTATTACTGTCTGTGGCCGTGTGGGAGCTTGCCTGTCTCCAGACCCCTGCCATACTGTGGACAAGTCTATGGTGGGGCAGACAGAATCTCATTCACCCCAGAACCTTGCTCTTGTTTTGCCAAACCTGTCTCTCTTCAGAGGGAGAGGGGATGGGGCTCTTCATCTTGGCCCCATTTTCACCATTGAGAAGACTCCCTTTCAGGCCACTTGAAGCTCTTGTCTTATTTTCGTTAGTGCTGAGTGTATCTTTCCTTTTAACTTTTTATTTGGAAATTGCTACAGGTTCATAGGAATTGGAGAGATAGTATAGAGAACTAGCATGTACCCTTCATCCCAGCTCTCACAGTGGTTACATTTCATGTAAGGATAGTACAATATCAAAACCAGGAAATTAACATTGGTAAAATGTGTGTGTACTTCTGTGCCATTTTATTACATGTGCAGATTCGTGTAGCCAGCACCACAATCAAGGTACAGAGCTATTCCACCACCACCAAGATCTTCCTGGTGCCACCCTTTCACTGTCACAGCCACCCCTCTGCTGCACCTCCCCGCAGCCCCCAGTCTGTAACGCCTGGCAGCTACTAATCCATTTTCCATGCCTATAATGGAATATGCATGGCAGCTGGAGAAATGAGTGTGTCGGTCCTGGAGGGGGTCTGGGCAGCTCAGTACAGTGTCCACTTCACCTCTCATTTCCCCATGTCCCTCGTGGTCGTTTGGCAGTCACCCATTGAGCCTCCACAGCCCTCTTTCATCAACTGCTCCCAAACAGACTGCCTAAGTCCCCACTCAAACCTTTCTTTAGTCCAAAGTCAGAAATAGATTCTCTTCTATTTTAATAAAAGGTTTAAACTTTTGTTCTTTACCTTAGTTCTTAATCCATCTGGAGTTGATTTTTATGAGTGATGTGAGTTAGAACTTCAAGTGTATTTTTCTGTATGAATGATTTATTGAATATTCCTTTCTCCACTGATCTACCAGGCTGCCTCTGTCTTTTGTCAAAGTTCCATTTAGGAATAAGTCGGGCTGCTGGGAGTCAGAGGCTTTTATCCTAAGCCCTGTCTTCTATTTCATTTGTCACACATGTCTATCCTTGCATCCGTACCACCCTTTTATTACTACAGCTTTATAATAAGAGCCGATACTTGTCGGGCAAGTCCTCTCTCTAGGCTTCTTCATTGGTGTTTTAACAAGCCTTGGCCCTTTGCTCTTCTCTGTAAGTTTGAGGATCATCTCAGTAGCAGAGGTTTTGGAGCAACCAAGGATGGTGATCCAGGAGAGGTTTACCTACCAAAACATTTCTTAACACCAGTAAATCAGATTGCCGGGGAAGTAAATGTCTTCTAGAGTTTTATTTTATTATGTTTTATAGATACATAAACATACTAGATTTGTCACCTTTAGAAAAACAAAAAACAGGTTTCCCAGTGAAATCTGAATTTCAAAAAAACAAGGAAACTAGGGTACTGGCAAAGGAGCAAGGAACAAGCTGAAGATAATTAAAAGAATGTTTTTAGGTTTGTTTTTGTTTGTTTGTTTTTAGTGTATCTGAGATAGGAGTTTTGGTGGTCCACTGGTTAAGTGCTCAGGAACATAATTAAAAGAATGTTTTTAGGTTTGTTTTTGTTTGTTTGTTTTTAGTGTATCTGAGATAGGAGTTTTGGTGGTCCACTGGTTAAGTGCTCAGGAACATAATTAAAAGAATGTTTTTAGGTTTGTTTTTTTTTAGTGTATCTCAGATAGGCGTGTTCTGGTGGTGCACTGGTTAAGCGCTCAGCTGCTAACTTAAAGATTCATGATTCAAAGACACCAGCGGTTCCACAGTAGAGAAGCCCTAGTGACCTTGTTCCATAAAGATTTCCACCTAGGGAACCTTATGGGGCAGCCCTAGTTTGTCTTACAGGGTTGCAACTCGACAGTATATAATAACAACATGTCCCAGTCATTGCATGGGACGTATTTATGCTTAAGAGGCATGCACTGTTTATCTGAAACTCAGATTTAACTTGGCAACCTGTATTTTATCTGGCAACCGTAACACACACACACACACACACACACAGCTGCACACACGCACACACATAGACACACACTTCATACACTGAAACCTGTGAGAGCCAGCCCTCAGCAGGACTGCTTTGTTTTTCCAGGCCCCCAGGTTTCCTGCCTTTGACAAAGTGCAGTCGTACCATTTTCCTGTTGCTCATTTCAGTGTGAAATAACCGAGTTTGCCTCCTCTGACAGGTTTCCCCTTACGCATGTTCTGGCTTCCACAGGTTTCACTGTACTGTTTTCCCCAGATTTTCTGTTTATGAGGCAACAACCTCATGCCACAGAAGTGTATGTCATCCAAAGTGGATGATGGGGTTCTGTGCTTTTGTCATGGGAAAAAAACAAAAACCGTATACATTATTTTAAAAACAAAAATAGAATTATTTTCCACTTGTAAAATGCCCGGGTTCAAGCAGAGCAAGGTGAAGACCCTGGGTCCCTAGTGGGCCACTTCAAAGCCCAGCCTCCAGGGTACAGACCCCACCCCATTCTCAGACGACGGCAAAGGCAGGGGCCTACTCCAAAGCCCAGCCTCCGGGGTGCAGACCCCA